TTCTTCAGCTATGTGCACCTCAGTGGTCTTCTTCTTGGGGTTATGATGTGTTTTGCGGCTACGACAATCTTTAGCTCGGTGTCCTAGCTTGCCGCATATGAAACACTTCCCAGTGAACTTCTTGTAGTTTCCTTGGCTGGGACCTTCTCCAGAGTGCTTCCTCTTCTTATTTTTCTGTCCAGCTTCTACTACATTTGCCTTTGACACCATTGAAGAATTTTCGGCTCTCTTTTCAGATGTACGGTTATCTTCTTCAATTCTCAGCCTGACAATTAAGTCTTCGAGCCCCATTTCCTTGCGCTTATGCTTCAAGTAATTTTTGAAATCTTTCTAAGTAGGTGGCAGCTTTTTAATGATTGAAGCTACTTGAAAGGATTCACTCAATGTCATCTTCTCAGCATGTATCTCATGTAGGATCAGCTGGAGCTCCTGCACTTGGCTCACAACTGTCTTGGAGTCTATCATTTTGAAGTCTAGAAATCGTCCAACCACGAATTTCTTCAAGCCAGCATTCTCTGTTTTATACTTTTTGTCTAACGACTCCCAAAGCTCTTTAGCAGTATTTAATGGACTGTACACATTATATAAGGTGTTGTCCAATTCATTGAGGATATAGTTCTTGCATAGGAAGTCTCCATGCTTCCATGTATCAACAGCTCCAAGCTCGATAATGTCTGTATCACCCTCATCTAACACTGGAGCAGTCTCAGTCAGATACTTGCTTAGATTCAGAGTTGTAAGGTAGAACATCATTTTCTGTTGCCACCTTTTAAACTCCGTCCCGTTGAATTTTTCGGGCTTCTCCCCATGACTGACGGGAACATTAGGCACGGTAATATTCGTACTTGCCATTTGTCTGTTATATATTGATATACAGACCACGAGTCAAATTATAATAATTATAACAACAATAATAATTAAATAATTATTACTATAGTATAAAGTTATCTGTCTTAAGATTGTTGAGCAAAAATGTATCATATACTATAATATAATTTATTTAAATATTATTTGTAAATATAATATTTATTATAATAATCTATATATATTTATATAGTTTAATATCAAAAAAATAAAACTATAAAATAAAAGAACCTGTTAAAGTCGAGGCTAGAATTTAATTCTATAGCTTTAAGACAGATACGCCCCGCTACGGTGCTAACGGACTCTTCGGCGTCTATCTCCCAGGATACAATGACTTTTCTTCCTTTGATAATAGCACTTTAAACCAATGGAATAGGCGAACCGACTTGGTGTAGTACTCTCAGTTGAACTCAGACTCGGAGATCAGGATTGAACACTAACTCGGAGACCAAGATTGAACCCAAACTTGGAAACCAAGGTTCGAACCCAATCCAAACCAGTTTAGGTTGAACCCAAACCAGTGGCTGAACCGAACAAAGATGAATCAGAAGAAGAGAAGAAGATTTCTGAATTGGTGTGTATTGAAATGAACCCAATGATGGGTATTTATAGGCTTGTTGGTGCCTATTCTGAATGGGTGCACCCATAGTCCGAATTGGTGCAACCATTGTTGACCAATCAAAATTAAAAATCTGTTGGTGGTTTTTAATTTGTATAGGGTGCAACCCTTGGTTCAAAAATAAAACTGATTTATGGTTTAAATAAACCCAAACCGTTTTAATTCTGATCCAGCCCAGCCCTTTAATTTCGTCCAATCCAGCAAGCAAACAATCCAACTCGGCGGCCATTAATTCAGCCCAGTAAACAGGCCCATTTTGATAAGTCCAGTAACAAAATAAAATTCAACCACACAGGCCCATCCCAACTTTGTGTAAAAAGTTAAACCCATTTCACAATCAAGCCCCGCACCGCCCTAGCCCGGACCGGGTCGGGTCGGGCGGGCGGCGCGCACGCGTGTGGTAGTTGGTTCGGATCCAGGCTAGCCTAGGTCCTCCCCCTTTTAAAAACTTGGGTGCCCTTGGGCCCAAACCCAAATCCCATACTAGACATATATATACTCAAGGTTGCTTTGCTACTTTTTCGATGTGGGACAAGCATTTCCCACTTTATTCACACCCATTTAGGCTTTATAAATCACTTACTTTGGAGCCAATTTCTCATTCACCCGGAAACGAATTTGAGAAAATAAATATACCACGTTCATCTCCTCGTAGAGAGGAACGCGCTCGTCAATAGATTCGCAAAAAATTCTTAGCGGAATCTTTTAAAAATCCTTCCAAAGTTTGCGTTTTCTAATGCCGTTTCCAACATAATTTAGATATCGTACCTGATTAGAAGATTAAACTTTTGATACCTTTTGAGAATTCCTTAGTGCCCTTTGAGATATCTGAAAAATTAGAGAGCTTTACCCCCTTCTGAAAGTTGTCGATACGATAGAACTGAATAAGGGTTTTAAAACCCCTATATATAACAATAACAGGGGGGGACGACTTCTCTACAAACAAGCATACCTAAGTCTCCCTTCCTATCATGAAAACTTAGATATCAATGGTTAGAAATAAATCACACCAAATAAGTTGAAAAACGACAATCCAACGGTATAAAACCATACTCCCAATTAGACCACCAAATTAAAAAGTACAAACCCAATCCATCAAGTATCAATAATCACATTATAATCCTACTTTAGAAAACATAGTGCGTAAGACCATAAAATAATTTTTATTGTTTAAATATATATATAAAATTCCAACACAATCCACTACCATCGGAAAACTCAGTTGAAAACTGATCAAGTCACTACCATCCCACGATCATCAAAGCACTGGCGAACATTGGCATCGGAATCATCATTGGTGCCTCTGACGGTGACATTCTGGCCTCGCCGGTGACCTGAATTTGCTGGCCCGTGGTTCAGTTTGAGATGGGCAACGAAGTGGTGGTGGTAAGAGGTTGAATGGTGGTGGTGATTTGAGGGTGAGGTGGGCGGTGACGATTTTTGGGGTGGTTTGGTGGAAGTAGTGGTGGGAGGAGGGGCCGTGGTTGGGGCAGTAAGAGGAGGAGGAAGAGAACGGATAGAGGAGAAAGAAAATAGGATTGGAGGAAGAGGAAAAAGAAAAAGAAAGTGTCACAGGCAAAATGGTTATTTGTTATTTTCAAATATTTTAAACATTTTTAACAATTTAATAATAAGACTAGTTGAGTAAATTCAGCTAAAAATCCTCAAATCAGAAGGGAGGTCGTCAGAGACATTAGAGGAATATTGAGTATTTTTTGGTTCCCCTAAAAAATTCATATTCAATTCTATACCCTATCCCTATTTCACCTAAATATATTAGTTATTTGGCAAACCATTCTACAGCGGGTAGAGAATGTTAGACAATGAAGACATATGTGCCATTAAGAATATGAAAATATTTGCATAAAAACATAAAGGAAATGAAGTTACTTGCAATGATTTTATAATGTCAATTATAATAAGTGAAATGTCTTTAACAGAAAATAATGACACAAGAAAATTATTTGGTCAAATCCCATTCATATAAAAAAGACAAAGATGGTGATTAAATTAATTATTCTTATATTTTAGTGATGTATTTTTCTTTGAGACCTCCAAAAAAAAAAAAAAAAAAAAAAAACTGTATTCTACGGCTTAAAACACTAGGCCCTAGTAACATCTTAGGAATTATTACATATAAATGGTGTTAATGACCTATATTTACTATTTGTAGGAGTCAAAATCTCATGGTTTCGAAAAAAATAACACATGAAAAACCACTGTTTACCCACACAAAGGTACCACATTTAAGCACATAGGTACCACTTTTTGTACATACAGGTACTACTTTTTGTGTTGCACAAAAAAGTGGCACCTAATACACAAAAAAGTGATACCGTGCACAAAAAAGTGGTTTCTCTATGCCCAAAACAAAAGTGGTACATAATACAAAAAAAAAAATAATACATGCATGTATAAAAAGTGGTACCTATGTGCCTAAAAATGTACCTTTGTGAGAGTGAATAGTATTTTTTCATGTTCACGTCAGTATTTTGGTCAATTTCATTTTTTTCAAAATTATGAGACTTTGACTCTATCAAATAATAAATATGAGCCATTAGCACCATTTATTTGTAATAATCTCTAACATCTACGTTGTGCTTGATAAAAAGGGTCCATGAACTAGACATTGTTCAAGTAAACTGGCTTTTTGGACCTTATATATATATATATAATGTATAGACAAGCTATTACATGTTCTTGTTCTGAATTCAGATTGAGAAAGCCATGGGTTATATGTGTGGGTATATAACACTATCCGATAATTAAGTTTTTGAGAACATTTTGGTTTTGTGCTTAAAGACCTCATTTTTGTATTGTGTATACGAGGCCTGTTTTCTTTATACAGTCCTCCTTTAGGCTTGTTTGTTGCCTTGGTATGGCTTAATAAAATGATGATTTAGGGAGGAAGAAAAAAAGAAAAAAGAGTAAACTAACTTTTTGTGGAATGGCTATAGATTGCACTAACTACCAACCTGAACGAAGAAGAGATGGTTCATTAAACTAGCTCCCAAACCTGCAACTGAACAGAAGCCATACTTGTTGGTATGATGATATGTGCAAACCATTTGCTTGACATTGCGTTTTGTGAACTACCTACCTCTCATACTCATATATACTAAGTACACTAGTAGTTCTAAAACATTGATATATATGCTGTGCCCAATTCGATCTGTTTACAGCTTCCTGCTCAATCGTGCATGTACTATTATTTAATTAATTAATGCCGCTAGCTACAAGGAAAATAAAAGGTTGAATTCCGTCATTAGCAGATTCACTGTAACCAATATTAGTAGAGATGGAAGAAATAGCTTACTGCTGTACGTGTGAAAGCCTATGCATCTGCTTAAGAGATATAGAAGAATTTATAGTCATATATATATATATATATACACACACACTCGAGTATATATATGTATATACGAGAGAGAGAGAGAGCCTATCTGCTAGCTTCATATGTACTTGCCCTTTACTAGCTTCATTTCGCCTTCATCTAATCTTGCAAATTAAAAACCAATTTACAAAAAGAAAACTAATAGTATATTATATAATTAACTACTAATATTTACTCGATGTTGATCATCATAAATATATATACCATGCATGCATGCTAGGCGGCATTAGCAAGATGCCGCATTACATCAACTTGAGTACGAAGTGAAACGATATAATCTAGGGTTTCTTCCATCAAAGTGGACAACCCATCCATGGATTCTCCACCCGGAATTAGACTCTTCAACACATTGGTTCGTTTCTTCACCAATCTTCTTGCAATAGACTCTGCACTTTGAACTCTTTTGTTTACAGCTCTACCAACACTACTAGTACTACTACACCTTGATCTTTTCAAGTACACCTTCTTGCTGCTTCTAATTATAATTGAAGAAGCTTTCTTAATTAGTCGTCTTCTCTGATCATGAGACTCGGTGGTGGTACTACTACTACTACTGGTACCTAGAATGTGGTCCACAAGGACCTTATTATTGCCATCTTTTGAAGCATTCGCAATTACAGCACGACTCCAACAAGTTGTGGCATTTCTAGCCGACGCCATCGCCATCGCCAAGTCTGCTGACAACTTTATAGCTTTCTTTCTCTCCAATATGCTCATCATCTCTTTCTTTGACGTCCAACTACATTTTTCAAGACCCCTTCCCCATTTCTTCACAAATTCCTGCTTCAGTACTGAGCTTGGCCCTCGCATTCTGCATGTACGTGGGACGAAACACATATTACGTACAACAGCAATATCTCTCTCTCTCTCTCTCTCACACACACACACATATATATATATGGATGACCAGTCAGTACTTTAATTATGGTTATAACTATATATCTATAACTACTACTTTTAATGAATTAGGAGACAGAATGTGTTAATATTTTCAGAATATAGAGCATTGGTATTTGGATCTACTACTAATTAAAGCTGACAATACGAATCATATAATTAAAAAAGAATCATTGAGCTAGTTAGCTTCAATCTTATTCATAATTTCATGGGTTTGGCTATATATATATACACACACACACACACACACACAAGAGAATGTGAAAATTAAGCAATAAATATATACAAAGTTTAAACATACCTTGATAGAAATTCTTCTATATTTCAATTAGAGAGAACATCATGCCAAAGTATACATGATCAACAATGTACTTAGAAAAGATGTAGTTTATAGCTAGGGATCCAACCAAGTGTATATATCAGAAGCCAAACAAATTGAGTGAGAGAGAGAGCAATGATAAGCAGCAGAAGAGTATATGCGCAAATGAAGGGAGGTGGTGGGCCTATCAGAGAAAGACACAGCACATGCAAGCACATGGTCTCCATGACCCCACCACCCAAAAACCCTAAAACAACATAATTCCTCAATATTGTAATGCAAACCTGACATTTTGCAAACAAATTTACTCACCATATATATGGACTCAATTCAATGAGTTTTGGTTGGGGTCAAAGAGAAAATAAAGACATGATATATAAATGTCATCAAGTTTTCATGTCCTAACACCGTACTATTTCTGGCTCATTTCTCACAATCTTTCCTGACTTGCATTTTATGGGGCATGGAAATTACATTTACGTCATATATGTATCTGTACTTATATATATGTGTGTTTTATATACTAATTGTCTTGTTTAGAAGCTGGATCGAATTATGACATGAGAAGGGAAATTTAAAGAGTCAATTAAGTAAACCATGCCATTTAAAAAAGGAATTTAAAACTTGAGGTACGATGTCTACTATTCCTGCTCTTTCAAAAATAAAGGATTCATTCGGGTGTAAAAAAGAGAAATGATTATATAATTCAGAATCATGATTCTAATCAATTACATAAAAACAATCATGCAACCATAAAACTCTGATCGATTATTATTGTGATTGATTAGTACCACATCCACCTCTACTAGCTACTAACTTTAAAGTCCTATTTGAGAGCTTATTAAGTACAGTAGCTGGAAGTGAGAGCGTGGTGTTTAGGGTTTCCACATTTAGCAAGATGTGCGATGTAAAGATGGATCGAAAGAGATTAGCAGTGGCAGAGTAGCAGCTAGCTACTGGAACATGTGCGTCTATACATACATATATATATATATATATATATAGACACACACACATATGGTGATGTTGAAAGGGAATGCATATATATGGTCCCACAAGAAGAAGAATTCAAGGGCACTGATTTTGGCTTTGGCAAGAAAAGAAAAATAACCCCCACATGCTCTCCACATGGGAGCTTTAATTGAGAGGGTGGTCTGTCAGAGCTCTCTCTGTATCAATAATTGATTTCTACTTGTGCGTGTAATTAAATATGTACATCTCTTGACATGCCCGAATTAAATTACCAGACATCAAAATTTCCCATAAAATCTCCATTTGATGATATTAATAAAACATTTGATGTTTAATAAACTTCTCAGCAACAACGCATGAATTTCATTAAATCATTTTAATTATTTCTTGGTAATTTGCGTGTGTGTGTGTATATATATATATCATAAAATATTATATGATTGATATTGTAAACAGTGGATGTGCTTAATAAAATCTTGAAGAAGAATTTAAATGCTTGAGTTATGGAAATTACGAGGAGTTAAAAAACAAAAAACAAAAAAACAAAAAAGAAAAAAAAAAAAGAAAAAAGAAAATTGGTGATATTATGAGGGCCCTCAGAATCTAAATCCACATGGGGAAAGTTAGAGCATGGAAATGCAAACAAATGGGACAATCGGTCAGCCCCCGTAATTTGCGCATTTCCTCAATTGTACATGTAGTACATCAACCGAACATCATAAATCAAATATTATAATAATAAACCTATACGTAAATATGATTGGAATTAATATAGTCAACAATCCAAAAAGATTATAATAATCGAACATCCGATTTTTTTTTTTTGTTAAGAGGATTTTCAATAACATCTATAAAATTTGAGAGATTGATGAGTTTTAATCAAATTTATAATTGATTAGTGTTCGGGTTTAACAATAATCAATGGTATAAGTTAACTAATCTAAATATAGGTTAATATATTTTTCATCATGATATTAACAACATTGATGTAAGAGTAATTATACTTGGACCGATTTATTGCACCGAATTATTGTACCGAATGTTTTTGATTGGTTATTTATGCATAGTATATGTAAATGGAGGGCCCCACTTATTTATTTATATATAAATTGATCTATTAAAAGAAATAGGTCTGACAATTTATTATAACAAATTACATAAATAAATAAGTGGAACCCTCCATTTACATATTTTATGCATAAATAACCAATCAGAAACATTCGGTGCAATAATTCAGTTTAACAAATTGGTATAAGTATTATTACTCTTGATGTTATTATGGACATTAGTGTTTACTTACATAAAATTAGTAGAATGTGTTCGATTATCTATCATTACTCTAATTTATATATAATAAAATAAATAATTAGTTAGATATATGAGACTATTTTGTTTTAAAATATTTTTTTTATCTCATTCACGTAAATACTTTTAAATATTATATCATGATTTATTTGTATCTCATATACTCTATTTCATATTAATTGTTCATCTTTTTATTTAGCGCGTCCTAAAACTCTTATTTAATTTAAAAAATAAATAAACTTAATTTTTCTAAAATTAAACTTTAAAATTTTAAAAGTTAGATAATATACTCATTTAAATTTAAAAAAGACAACCTAGTAAACTTATAAAGAGATAATATATTAATTGCTTATTCCTTACAAAGTTACAAAGTCACAATATATAAAGGTAATGGTTTGCTTAGCTGGCTTGTATGTTTAGGTTGGATAAGAATCCGTGCTGGAGAAATCTTACATAAGTAATAGCTGTTAAGATTACATCATTGTTAGTGAATCTCATTACTGTTATTTATACAGGACCTCACCAACCTGGAGAAGATCCTCATCCGTTCATATGGCTTCCGCTCTTCCACACCACACGTGGGAGTGTCCACCCACTTGTGTATAATACACTCCCAGATCCACATATGGACGTGTATAACTACGTATACTGTACATGTGGACACGCACAACAACACACATGAGGAAATTGATGCAACAACACTGCATGTGCACCACATGGATGGTGGGTCTAACAGTGTCCCAACAAAGGTCTACAGTCCTACAGCCTCTAATCATGAGCCTACTCCTACTTACCGCACCTACAAAGGTGGCTCCCTTCTTGTCACCAGTCAAAACACGAGTTACACTGTCAAAATATTATCTCAAAATGCTGTATTGTTATAATTTTGTTACAATAGTATATTTCATTTAAAATATTATTTTTTAACAGAACAATTATTTCTTGTTTTGAAAATTTATTAAAATGCCTTATTTTCATTCACTTATTATATTTTAAATTTTAGAGACCATTTAAGAACTATTATATTTGACAATACTTTTAAAAATCTCAAAATATGAGAGACTATTGAAATAGTTTATTTTCGTCTACTTACTTATATTTTGAACTTAGAAAGTCATTTGAGAAGGCACTGAATATGCTCAGCTTGCTCTCATTTTTATATTCCATATATGACGCGTGGTGTGAATTGGCAACTTTTTTTAGCTAATTACAAAAATTTAATCATTTCAATTTCTTCCGTTTTAATTTTTCTTAAAATTTTGTAATTCAACATCCTCTAAATTTTGATTGAAAATTTGCTTAAATGTCTCTAATGATTTTAACTTTTAATTTTTTATTAATATTATTTTAATTTGAATTCAAATTCGTCTTCGAATTTCAATTTAACACAACTATTGATGCAATTAATTTTGGATAAAGTTCAATAAATTCCAGAAATAAATATAAAAAGATAAAATGCATTTAACCCATTAACTTTCACCGTTTTCGAGTCAACTCCTTTTAATATTATTTTTTTTCTTGCCCAAAAAACCTTTCTCAACTAACTAAAGGGGATTGCTTTTTGAATTTTTGTCAAAAATACCCCTACAAAAAAAAATTATTTTTTATTTTTTCAAAAAATGATATTTCAACTTATATTTTTTGTTACATGCATTATCATACTTTTAATTACAAAAATTTATAAAAAAATTAAAAATATAAAATTTATAGTTATAAGTGCAACTAAATATAAATTAAAACTTATACGTCTACTCATATTATATAATATATATTATATTTTTTATTTTATATAATATGTGTGTGTGTGTGTGTATATATATATATATATATAAATATATGAGATGGATATTTGATCAAAAAATAAATTTTAATTAAAAAAAGTAAGGTACTGTTTGGTATGCGTTTTGTTCTTGGCGTTTTGTTTTAATTTGAAACAAGTTGTATTGTAAAGTTTTTTTAATAGAAAACGAAAAAAAAGTTTGGCAACATCTATTTGTTGCGAGATTTTTGGAAGAAAAAATCATTAAACATATTTAGTAAAACAATGTTGCAAGTTTGAAAAATATTATGGTTAGTTTAAAATTTTCATTTAAGAATTTTTCAAAAAATAAAAATTTACTGTTTATCACTACAGTACCAAATGCTATAGTCTGAAAACATATAAAAACACCAAATTGGTTTTGGCCACTATTCACGAAACATTTTTGAATTAGGCAAAATAAAACAGTTTTTACCAAACACATTTTTTGAGACATTAGTGCGATTATCATTATACATTTTATCCTTATGATATTATAGAATTGTATAGCACTTGCAAGCCTTTTAAATTTATATTTTGTGGGGGTATTTGTGTGTTTATGTTTTAGGGACTTTTTCATTTTTGGGGTTCTTTGTGCTAATATCTTTTGAAGATATTTTCTTTTGGGGCATTAGTGCGATTATCTTTTGGAGATGTTTCTTGGTGGGACTTTTGTGCAATTAAGAGAAAATTGGGATAAGTGTTTTGTTTTGGTTGGACTAAGTGTTGGAGTGTGATTGGAGGCACGAGGGAGGTTAAGATTGTGACGAGTGGAAGGTGAGGATGGTACTAATGAGAGTGGTAGTGCTAGGGTTAATGGTTGTGATATTTATCATTTCATATAACAATTTTTCTCCTAATCTTCATCTTCTTCCTCATTTTCTCTCTTTTCCTCCATTGAAGCACTATCTTAGACATTCATTTCTTCCACTTTCCTCTCACCTTTTGGACAAACCTTAGAAAGGAAAAAACTTGGGAACTCCATTTGTAACAAAACCCTTTCTTTAGATTTAGTTTTATGACATTTTTTCTTGGATTCTCTAGGTTGCTCTCCTACAATGAGGT